TATATATATATATATATATATATATATATATATATATATATATATATATATATATATATATATAGTGTTTCACAGGAAAAGTGAAATTGCACAGTGTTTCACAGGATTGTACATCATTACAAATCACTTCAAATGAACTAAGCACTTTAATTTGAGATTTTGTTTTAGTTGGATGTTTTTTTTAATTTTCTCTTTCATTAATATTTTTTATTTCGTTTTTAAAGTAAAAATTTTTTTTAGATAAGTTTGAGTAAATTTATTTAGCACATTTTAAATTTTGAAAACATGTTAAAAGCTGTGGTCATATCGTCAAAAAAAAATATTTTTTGCGTTGCCATATAATTGCATGTGATCGCACATATTCCTGTGAAACACTTATATATTTACATATATTAGGGGCTATTCTAGACTATTTTCAACAGCATCGACCATATTCGGACATATTCATAATAAAATTTGTGGACCTTTTTATTTTTAACAGCAAATTTTTTTACAGCAAATATTTATTTGCAAAAAAAACGTTGATTTTCTGCTAAAGTTTGCCGGAACACGGGGATACTACTGCCCAAATTTTTCTTCTAGAATAGGTCCTGTATATATATATATATATATATATATATATATATATATATATATATATATATATGTATTATATATATATATATATATATCCACATATATATATATATATATATATATATATTTATATATATATATATATATATATATATATATATATATATATATATAAATATATATATATATATATATATATAAATATATATATATATATATATATATATGTGGATATATATATATATATATACATATATATATATATATATATATACATATATATACATATATATATATATATATATATATATATATATATATATATATATATATATATATATATATATATATATATATATATATATATATATATATAGGATTAAATATATATATATATATATATATATATATATATATATATATAATATAATATATATATTTATATAAATATACATGTATATATATATATATATATATATATATATATATATATATATATATATATATATATATGTATATATATATATATATGTATATATATATATGTATACATATATATATACATGTATATATATATATGCCCTGTATATAGATCTATATATATATATATATATATATATATATATATATATATATATATATATATATATATATATATATACATATATATATATATATATATATATATATATATATATATATATATATATATATATATATGAATTTATGTATATATATATATATATATATATATATATATATATATATATATATATATATATATATATATATATATATAAATATATATATATATATTTAAATATATATATATATTTATATATATATATATATATATATATATATATATATATATATATATATATATATATATATATATATATATATATATATATTATGGCCCTGCGAATCAGTGTTTTTAGTTTCGAATTGAATCTTGAATCAAAGCAGCACTTGATTTGCGAATTAAATAAAATCTTGAATTTAATCACTTTAATGAAATATAAACTTAAGTTTTTTTTCTCTATATTCTTATGATATACAATTACACAATTAGAATTTTATTTGAATATGCTCTTACTTTTTGCCCAAATTAACCATTTTGTGTTTTGCTCAGAAAGGCTATTGTGTTTACTTTTAATTAGTCATCCCACAGAGTTAACTCTTTCTGATGAAAAATTTGTAGCTTGTACAGCAGGAAGATCAAGTGCAACTTGATTATAAGACAATCTGAACATCCCAATTTTTTCTCTTAGGTGTATGCATTAAACTAATCTAAAGTTATATTCTCTGGTAAGATACAGTTTATAGAAACATGTTTAAACATTTTATTCAAATTTCCATTTGTTTTAGATAATAAATTTTGTTTCCTCAAGTTGAATTTCATCAGGATACATAAAAATACTTAAATGTTTTTTTTCAGAAACCATAAAGTTAGATTCCACAACTTGCATCTCTGCCAAGGTAAACATTGTTGATTTAAATTGAGGGTCTAAGAAGGTAGCGACAAGAAAAATGCCTTTACTTAATCCAAATCTGATTTCCAACTGCATAGTAAGATCATCAACGAATTTAATTATCCCTTTGTTATCCATTGAGCAAAGGCAATTTTTCAAAGTTGTAATGCATGGATAAACTAATTTAATGCTTATGCTTTTTTCTGCACTTGAAATAGTAGCAGCTTTAGACACTCCATTTAAAGTAGGAGTGACTATTGCTACTTGGGTTCCAGAGTTAGACAAGTTAAACAAGTCGGTGGCATTTTCTACAGTTTTTTTTCTGTGTGCACTTGGTACCAGCAATTTTTGGTATTAAGTTGCTTTAAGCTGGAGTAGATGATTTATTAGATAATAAATGATTACTCAAAAATAACAAAATCTAAAGTTAAAAGTTAATTGGGTTTATATACATAGTCTAGAACAGACAGTTACTATGTATATAAACAACCATGTTTTTTTAATAAACTTTGTTTACATAAGTTTATTTTACATAACTTATGGCTTTTATGTAAAACTACTATAAATCTAAGCACGACACAAGCATACTTTTTTTTAATAACTGTGTCTATTCAAGGTCCAATATTAAATTAATATAAATCTATATTAGGCTCTTTATTAAACCATAATATCTAAATTATAACTTAACAAAGAGCTTGATTAGATTTCAATTATGCTATTTGAATTTTTTTTTGTAGCAAATGCATGTTTTTTATATGATTTTTCATGTAACTTTTTAAGGTCACATTTTAAATGGCTTGATGAGATAAAGTTCCAGTTTTATGAACAGAATACTTTTTATTGCAATTTTTTTGTTTGCATTGCCAGAATGATCCTTTTTTTTTCAAAGAATAAATAATTTTTTTGAAGTCATATTTTAGCTTGAAGTGAAATAACTAACAGTTTTTTTATTTCCAGTTTGTAGCACTCTAAATTTTCAATTTTAAAATTTCTTTAAGTAAAAGCAAGGTCAAAAAGTATCAAAGCAAATTTATAGACTATACAACTTAAATCCCTAATCGGCAATTACTTTTATAAAATTACATTACAAAATTTCTATATATCTGATTTTTTTGCTTTATGTTGATATTTTAACAACTTTTTAACACAGTATGTTTGAATACAAGCAACAATAAAAAACAAAGAAAAAAGATTCGAAAAACTTGAATCTTTTTTTTTTGAATAGAATCTCGAATTAAAGCAGCAATCGATTTGCAAACCGAATCAAATCGCAGGCTCCTAATATATATATATATATATATATATATATATATATATATATATATATATATATATATATATATATATATATATATATATATATATATATATATATATATATATATATATATATATATATATATATATATATATATATACATATATACATATATATATATATATATATATATATATATATATATATATATATATATATATATATATATATATTATTGTCGCTGATTTTGTTGCTTTTTACAGGGTTGAAGAGTTATGATATTGCATGAATTCAAATTTAGCTAAAACAAAAAGTTGATTGCTAAAATTAATGCTTATTTAGAAATAAATTGGTAAATAAAAAAGTATTAAAATATTAAAAAATAAATATAATAATAAAAAATTTTATAAAGTATTAAAAAATTAAGTATAGTTATTAAAAAAAAAAATATTAAAATTAAATTATACCTTTTTATTCAACAGCCCATTATTTCCTATAACCTGATCAAAGATATTTTTTCCAGCACGAGCATCAACTGCAGACAAAGGATCATCCATAATGTATATTTCTGAATTATGGTAAACTGCTCTTGCAATTGAGATACGCTGCTTCTGACCACCACTTAAATTGATTCCTTTCTCACCAATCTCAGTTCGATCCCCACCTGGAAATGAGTTAATATCAGGCTTCAATCCACAAGCATCAACAACTTTATTATACCAATTGCTTTCATACTCGCTCACAAAAATAATATTGTCACGCAAACTTTTGTTTTGAATCCACGGTTGTTGGGAGACATAAGAAATGCTGTCTTTTACAAACACTTCCCCACTAACTTTCTTAATTTCACCGAGTATTGCAGAAACTAACGACGACTTTCCTGAACCAACTTGTCCAACAATTGCTGTTAAACTACCATAAGGAATTTTAAGTGTAATGTTTTGCAAAACAGCATCACCAGTGTCACTCCATTTAAATGTTCCATTGTGTATTTCAACAGCATTTTTAATATTAATATCATCTGACTTTGAAACTGGTTCTAATTCTTCACTTTTCAAAAATTTTGATAATCTTTTAGTTGAAACTCTAAACTGTGCAATATTTGCAATGACCATAGGTAAAAGAAACAAAGGAAATCTTATTATATTAAAAAGTGATATTGCTACAAAAGCCTTCTCAGCAGTTAGATTGTTACCTAGCATAACGTAAACTAAAAAAGTTAAAAATGATACCAAAAAAAGTACAAGTGTTAAAGCAAAACCATGATTTGCTTGCAACAACATAGCATTTTTGATGAGTTTAAGTTCATCATTCCTTATTCTCATTATATTTGCAATAAAACTATCTTCCCAAGAGTTTAACTTCAATATATTTATCCCAGCAAGTATCTCATTCATAAACTTTGATCGACGATCTTTAAAAACCATTTGCTTAGCTTGGAACTTCTTTTCAAAAGTTGAAAAACAACTACTAATTGGTATATATAAAAAAAATACACTGAAGCCAGCAAGAATGGACCACCCCATTAATAGGTAAAGGTAGACAAATGAAACTATAATTTGAAATGGACCAGACCAAATAACGTTAAGATATGTTAAAAGATCATAACACTTTTGAGTATCTACTGTCATAAGGTTCACCATTTCTCCAACAGGAAAGTCAACTCTACCAAAGCTATTTAATCGAAACATCTAAAAAATATAACTGCTTTTATTCATAAATACTTATTTTTAAAAAAATATTATAAAATATATTGTTGAGTTATAAGTTATAAGTTGCTGAAATTATTTATTATTAAATTATATAGATTTTAAATATATTTAGAGGTGTAGAATTAATGTTTAAAAACCAAAAAAAAAAAAAAAAAAACCCAGAATATTGACACTTAGATCATCTAACATTTATTCATAACTGTTCCATTCAAAAGGTTTCAAAAACTGTTCCAAACATGAGGTATTCAGTTTTAATAAAAAATTTAATTTAAATAAAATGTCAAAATAATTTAAAAAAAACTTGATATTTTAAAGAAGCAGTGAAATTTTTGGATTATTAAGGCATTGAAATTTAAGATTGAAATTGTCAGAAAAAATTATTTTTATATCTTTTACTTAAGTACTTAAGACAAATATCATCAAACAATTATCATTACTTCCTTTGTATACATATGTTTATTGTCTTTTAACATTAAAATTCAGATATATTGAGGCAACATAAAGATATGGTGCTTTTAGGTTTTAATATATATATATATATATATATATATATATATATATATATATATATATATATATATATATATATATATATATATATATATATATATATATATATATATATATATATATATATATATATTATATCCTTTACTTTCTTACTGTAGCATTTCTGGTATTTCTGTGATAATTTATGAAATTAAATTTGAAAAAAAAGTTTGAAAAATCGTTTAAAACTTTTATTTCTTCTAGAACCCTAATTCCACTTTCAATGCAGCTAAAGGTTATGTATTCAACTACTATGACTGAATCTAATTTAATTAAAGAATATTTTTTCACCTCTAATTCACTTTTAAGAAAACATGTTCTGGCATTTTTCTGCAAAAATTTCTGCTGAAATATTAAAAAATTGCTGTTGTTTTGCAGCTTTAAAAAAGATTTAGATATTGAAAGAACTTGATTAATAATCAGTAAGGGAGATGTATTTAGATATACAAATAGAAAAGAAATATTTGAAAAAAATATCATTAGAACAGTAAATATAAAATTATGAGTTTTTGAACAAAAAAAAGTAATGCACCTAACCTAACCATAACTTTTATAAAGAATATTAAACAAAAAGTTTTGTGTTTGATGCAACTCAACTGACATAATCACTGGATGTATATAAAGTATTGTAGTTGACCTCATCTTAACAAAAAAATACTTTACCTTGCTTAAAGATACTGTTTTAATGAGACTATCATAAAAGTTGATTGGATGATGTTGTTTGAAAAAAAAATTTACTGACTAGGCAGTGTTCAAGCGCTAACAAACAAACTGCTTATAAACTAACTGGACTAAAAACATTTCAAAAGAATTTTGATTTCATAATGACATTTTTGTAGCTTTAAGTTAAATATTTAAACATTTTTTATTTCATTTCTATATTAATTAAAGTTTTATTTAAAAAAAAAAACTTTTTTTTTTTTAAATTTAGAAAAGTATTTTTACTTATTTACTTTTACTTAGTTACATTTAGCGTATATATACATATATACATGTATATGTATGTATATATATATATGTATATATATATATATATATATATATATATATATATATATATATATATATATATATATATATATATTATATATATATATATATATATATATATATATATATTTATATATATATTAGGGCTCTGTGAATCAGTGTTTTTAGTTTCGAATTGAATCTTGAATCAAAGCAGCACTTGATTTGCGAATTAAATAAAATCTTAAATTTAATCACTTTAATGAAATATAAACTTAAGTTTTTTTTTCTCTATATTCTTATGATATACAATTACACAATTAGAATTTTATTTGAATATGCTCTTACTTTTTGCCCAAGTTAACCATTCTGTGTTTTGCTCAGAAAGGCTATTGCGTTTACTTTTAATTAGTCATCCCACAGAGTTAACTCTTTCTGATGAAAAATTTGTAGCTTGTACAGCAGGAAGATCAAGTGCAACTTGATTATAAGACAATCTGAACATCCCAATATTTTCTCTTTGGTGTATGCATTAAATTGATCTAAAGTTATATTCTCTGGTAGGGTACAATTTATAGACTTGCATCTCGGCTAAGGTAAACATTGCTGATTTAAGCTCTTTATTTATTTAAGCATGAAAGACTATTAGCTTTTTATTCATTCTCTGTTTGAATGTGACTCAACATGACATCTATGTCGTATATCTGCGTCATCTGCAGCTGTTATTATTTTTGAATGTTTTAGTAGCTTTAACAAATTGTTACAATTTTAGTGTCAGCACCACATTGGAAAATATACACTTTTTGTTCAATTTTTCTGCAAAACAGAGGCAAATAATAACACTTCTTTTTTATTGTGTGTGTTTGACTAAATGTCTTCTTGTAAATATGGAACAACAATGTTTTCTTTTTATTTATATTGTTAGATATATCTTCTCTGTATAAACCTTCTTTTATGCTCATTTTATTTTATTGTTACCTGCTCATAGCCATCAAAAACTATATCAAATCTTTAGTTTTTTCTTATTTATGCTCAATATATTCTTACTAAGTTGCCATTTTGTATTGCTTTTATTTAATGTATGCAAATAACAGTGCACCACCATCAACAACAAATTATATAGACCTTCATTAATGCTACAACAAATTATCTTAACTTATTTTATCTTAATTATCTCATAATTTATTTAATCTTTATTATTACTAAAATGATTTATGTTGATGAATGCAAACGTACGTTTTAAATGAAAACAGAGAATTACCATCAAGCCAGCTCACAAAGCATTCAAAGTCTTCAAATTTTGTGATCTACCTCAAAACACCATTTCAAAATGTTCTTTGCTTGATTGAATAAATATTCCAAACATTTTTGTCATTGCATCATGTATTGCAGCACTGAAAAGTAAACTTATGATCAAAAGATTTCTAAAACTATATAAATACTTTCTCTTATCAAATTATTTTTTATAGTTTGAATCTATCATCGTTTTACAGCATGACAACCATCCATGAAACTTTTGTATAACCATGGATGTGTTTTTAAAAAGGGATACTTTTCTTGAATAAAATCTCTTAAACTTTTTGCATAACTTACTTTGTCAGTTGCTGAAAAAAGATTCAACATTTTTTTATAAAGTAGAATTCTTTCTGCCAAAAAAAACTCATTAACTATACTAATATATTCCACATACTGAATACTTTACTGAAATGCCCTTGATTTTCTCTGTTTCATTTCTATTTATTCATTAATAAGATTTCACAGAAATTAACAGTTTTTACTTTTAGGAAAATCTGTCAAATCAAAAATCATAATGTAGAGAATTATTAGGTATATGTTTTCAAATAACAGGTTTATTTCAAAAACACTAACTATATTATTCAAAGTAACTTGATCAGTACAATTCAAGCTAGAAAGTATGCCCATAGATACCGTTTTTTCCTGGCATAATGTTAGATAAACTATTTTATACATAAACCTCAGACAAACTTTATGCCTAGAACCATCCATGAATTTCCAAATAGTACCAAGACTACCAAGAAAACTCATCAAAAAATGAAATCTACCGAGTCTGCGAACTATATCCTTGATCTTTATTGATACTAGCTGCCTCTAACCATAATGGACGATCAATACTAATAGAGGGTGTACGAATTCCGTTTTTCCTTGCCTTATCTATTACCAAGAGAAATTCTAAAGTATAAAGTTCTTCATTTGCTTCTTCCTCTAGTCATCTAAGATTCTTCCTCTAGTTATTAGAGTTTTTTTTTAATTCAAATGTGTTTTATTTAAAGTAAAAAAATCAAAAACTAACTTAAATTTTTGATTTTTAAATTAATGATTTATTATTTAGTCTTAAGTTTATTACCACACTATAGAATTGTATACAGTGCTTCCAGAAAGTATTAGCGCACTCATTTTTTTTTTACCTCAGAAAACTTTAAAGGATTGTAATTCAAAAACAATAAAAGACTGATTGATAATATTTTTTTAACTAATTCATAAAATTATGCAGAATTACTAATTGTAAAATATATAAAAGTATTTCTTTATTATTATCTTGAATTTAATTAAAATACAATAAGAGTGATAAAAACAATAATAAAAAAATGTGCAAAAGTATTAGCGCACTTACCGTTTTTCAAAGACTTTAGGAAAGTTTAATATTTTATGTGACCACCTTTGTTTTTAAGGCATGCCAAGACTCTACGCAGAATAGAATCTATAAGTTTTTTGATTAGTTCTTGTGGCATGGTATCCCACAACACTTGCATTTGCATTTTGAGCTGCATCAAGTTAGTGGGCCTGCTTTTTTGTAATTTGCAGTCCATCCAACTCCAAAGATTCTCAATATGATTCAAATCAGGTGAGCGAGCAGACCAAGGCATCAGGTTCAACCGCTTTTCATTCATGTATTGCTTAATTGAGTGCGCTGTGTGGCAAGGAGCGTTACCTTTTTAAAATTGCCAGGTGGAGTCAGCTTTAAAAATGTCCATTGATGGCTTTAAATAATTTTCTAATATCTCTCTATATCTAAGTTGACTTAGGTGATCAGTGTAAAGATGCGCCAGGACATTGCTAGATTTAGCAATGCAGCCCCAAATGCCAACTGAACCTCCTCCTTCTTGAACTCTTGACTTGATAAAACGAGGATTATATTTTTCGTTTTTGTATCTCCTCACGACAACTCTTTTATTGCGATTAATAAGTTCAAAATTTGACTCGTCTGAAAAAATTACTTTTCTCTATTGCTCTACAGTCCATGCAGCTCTCTCTTTGCACCATTTTCTTCGCTTGAGATGGTCTTTGATGTTGCTCATCTTACTTGATGAGCACCCATCGCTGTATTCAAGTCTGAGGCTATTTCAGCTATACTCATGTTCGGGTTGCGTCTAGCAAGCAAAACTGCTTTATTTTCGTCCCTGTCTGACATTTTTTGGGACGACCAGTGCAATTTTTGTCTT